TAGGCACACTCAAGCTTACTGGTTTATAAGAAGGGGTAATCCTCCCATTCAATAAGGCCTTATTGGGTGAGAAGTCATGTCCACCTCAAATTCTATCATGGTATCAAAACCTCAGGTTTAATTGAGTTGAGCGCTTGACCAGTGGGTGGGGAGTTAGAGCCGATAACTATATCTAATAACAGGTATGGCCCAACATATAGGCTTGACCATGAGGAGGAGTGTTAGAGTCTCACACCGACTAAGCACGCTCAAGCCTATTAATTTATAAGAAAGGATAATCCTTCTATTCAACAAAGTATTATTGAGTGCATGTTTAATATAAAATCTCGTCTCAATGCACTCAAATTTTTTTTAATTTTTTTTCTCCACCTCACTTAATACCATTATCATTTGTCTTTGAACCAAATGCATATGCCTGTGATGGGACAACTCATTCAACCAAAGAATTTTTCCCTTCCTTATTTTTAAGGAACAAAAGGTTTTTTTTTTTTTTTTTTTTTTTAAAAAGATTCTAAGAATAATGGAAGACGGTGTATAACCACCCTCTTATGAGAATCTTGTTACCTGTTTTATTTATTAGAACGTTATTTAGTTCAAATAGATGAAAACAAAGAATCCAGAAAAGTTATTCAACAAGCTTGAGAAGGAATTCCATATGGCGGCGGGGGTGGAGGTGGGCCGGTGGGGGTGGGAGGCTATGAGAATTTAAAAATCCGATGCTTTGATAATGAAAACAACCCCAAAATGAACTTATTTTGAAGATCGATTAATTAGCGAAAAAACAATCTCTTACTTTTGAATTGTCGAAACAAAAACTTTATATAAGAGTCGAATCCCCAAAAGAAGATCTGAGAATTTTTCTGAAAAGAGATCAAAGCGAAAACAAAAAGGTATTTGATTGTATAGATATTTATGTCGAGACTCAAGCCTTAGATCTTCTAAAAGATTACTTTTTAACATTCTTGGTGTTAATTAAAACTAATATCCATAGTTAACACTTAGAGATTAGTAATTTTATTTTATTTTATTTTATTTTTTTGGGATCAATTTTCAACTAATGCGGAGTAAGGAAGATAAGATTGTGGGGTCAATTGATTTAAAGTGAAAGCAGCAAAGGATCATGAAAATCATATCTTCCATGTCTAAAGTGATATCACCAAGATCAAGATCGATAATCAACGCAATAAAAGATAAAAGGTTAAAGCTTAATCATGTTCCTATCTCCGTCTGATTCTGGCCGCACGTGAATTAATCAAATACTTTCAATTTTGAGTCTTGACATCCCGCGTAATATTAACTTTGTCTTCAATTGTTATAATCCAACTTCTTTTCCCCCTAACAATAATATTAGGACCATAACCTCCTTTTACAACTCTCGATATAATAGTTCGTCATTAGTTAACTTACAAATAGCCAAGCAAAACCCATTTTATGAATTGACCAATAACGAGCTGTTACGTCGAAGATTATGAGATTAGGTTGTGAATATAACATTACGCCTTACATAATTAAAAGGGTAATACTATGTTAACAAACGAATCTCATAATTGGCTTTTGATGAATTTTCATAAATTTATCAGAAATCAATTATCATCTGTCACGTTGAGTTTGAAAGAGAAAGTTTATGAGGTTCGTTTGTAAGTTTATTTTTATTGTAATTAAAAATCCCCTATCATTATATTACTTTTCAATATTCATAAATTCTTGAATATTTTAAATAAATTAAGATATTTAAAATAACGAAGCTATATTTATTCAACATCGCCAATTTAGTAAACTGTTATGGTATATATATATGGTTGGATTCTCTCCTCCCTTGAACTAACTTTTGCAATATATTTGAACGCATATCCACTCTTTTTCCTATTTAACGATCAACCCTTTATTGTTGTGTTTTCACATCGAGAATCTTTACAAATGAAGAGATATCAAAGTGACTTCTTACTACTTTCCAAACGAATCTTCCTACATTTATATCTAAACATTGGTTTATCAAAAATACGCAAAACAAAGTATTTCAAATTGTTAATTCATTGCCAAAAACGGTTTATAACCAATAGTTCATTATCTAATGGATATTTCTATTTATTTGTAAATTAAAAAGTATTTATCAAATCTGATCGTATTTAACTAATATATATATATTTGTCTTAAGACGGAATAATGCCTCAAATAGCATAATATATTTGTTACGCCTATTAATAAAATTTTCTCGATGTGCAGAAATTCCAAATTTTTTAATTTAAGAATTACAATTTAAATAAACATTATATAAATTAGAAAATTTAAAAAACTTAATAAAACGTGTCACACGTGCGAACAACAAACAAAATGTCATGGATCTGACAACACCAAAAGAATCATAATTGGGAAGGCACCAAGTCTTGATGGTTCAGTAACGGTTAGTAATAATCCAGAAGTAGGGCCCACACTTTAACGTGTCCAATCATGATAGGTGGGAGACCCCAGCCCTTAATCCACGCGCTATAGTTTACCCATCAATCGAAGTGGGTTCTATGACTGGGCGGACCAGATTTTGTTTCGTTTCGTTTTTGTCATAATTCTCAAGTCAGAAATGACGTAACTGCTGATAACGACTCCCGAGTCCCGAGGTCCCACGTTAAAGCTTTGTACCTTCGCACACGCTAACAGTGGTCCCATGATGACGGTAACTGCATGCAGTGGAGTGGAAGCCGCTAAAAAAAACCCAAAAAAAAGATTTTGCCACGTCAAAAAAAGTTGGTTAATTAATTAATTAAATATTTAAATACATTAAATTAGAAGTAAAAAAATAGTTGAGTTGCTTCGAAGAACGAGAGGCCGGTGTCAGACTCACAGCCTTCCAGGTAGAAGCAAGTATTGAGAAAAGGGGCTTTGGATTGTGAATATTTACGAGGATGCCATTTGACTCGTTTATAGAAAGAAACCGTGTGCCGCGTGCCGAAACACTCCTTGTTTTGCCGAATAAAGGATCTAGAAAGAAGAGTTTACTTAACTAGTTAACTAAGTTCGTTTTTAATTATAATATATTTCGGGAATTTTCAAATCAAATCATGTTTAATATTTAAAAATATATTAGCTATAATATCTTAAAATCGTTTTTTATTAAAAAAAAAAAAAAAACTATGAAATCGACTTTTAATCAATTTTTGACTTCACTTAAATTTTAAAAATATATTAATAAACATTTGAATTTATTTTTATCAAACCCAATTTCATAAAGAGCAAGAGAGTTTCAATCACTATTCCCAATTCCTGTTTGGACTGTTTGACGAGACATAAATCTAAAGCCTTTGATAAATTCAATGATTCAAAATTTGTGATACTATCCTACATTCTTTCAAATTTTCAGAAAACCCTGAGCTCAAGTATTCACCTACTTTTATCCAACATATTCTGTACTTCATTTCCGAATTCCTTGAATTTATCAAAAGCTTCATATTTATGTTTTATAAGATTGACATAACCATACCTAATGAAATCATCAGTAAATGTAATGACTTCAACACAGTGTTAGCCAGCTTGACAGAACGGAATGAAATAAGAAGCGCTCCTGCGCGATACGGAGCAAACTACGACACTTTCTGAATGGAATGAAACTGAGAACTATCGATTGATGCAACACAAAATGTTCTCTTGGGTATAGTTGTTACAATTAGATTCGAATGGCATCAAGTGACGCCCAAAAAACAACATTTCGCACACCGCTAAACAATCAAACAATTTCCATCGCATTTTATTTTTTATCAAACCCAATTCCGTAAAGATTTTATATCATTTTAAAAAAAAAAATGTACAAATATGTTAAATATTACAAAGCTTAAACGTGATAAATTAGTTTACGTAAAACTCTATTTTTAAAAGTTAGTTTAAAGGAGAAGAAAATCCAACCACAAATTCAACTTCTAACATATTTTATTACAAAATTTCAGATATTTCTAAGGGTAGTTTTTATTAGTAATTATAAGTATATAAGATTTGGATTTTTTTTTATAACTATAAAAGTATATATAATGGGTACACTATTATGTTACATTTATTGTATTATAATTTTATAATATAAAGTCGTGCTAACTTGTAAACTTAGATGTTATAAAAATAAGAAACATGGGGCAATCCAAAACCAAAAGGTCAAAATATAAGTACGTAATATGGGCTTTAAGGGTGTGCTATAATTGACCAAATTTACGATTGCAACAATTAGCACGATATCAAATTAAAAAATTCAAATTATATTTAATAATTCAACCTTCTACATAATTATATATTGACCATGACATTTTCATCATTATTTACAACTCGTCATGCTTTGTCACCTTTACATAAAATTAATTTATTCTTCGTCATTATATATACCATCGAATTTTGTTATTTAAAACGTGATTCGTTAAAGTTTTTAGTGAAATAAAACGTACGGACCAGAGTCAGACATGCACAATCATGACAATAATATGATCTCATGGCATACGTTAGTTTCATTGAAACATTTTCATGCATCCATTGGTCTAATTAAGGGTTTTTCCTAGAAAATCTCTTTTTTTTCATTTGTGCAAGAATAATTAATTAACTCACATAAAATAATCATTCATTCAACCAGTTTATGTATATTTTAATTAATCTTCGAGAAAAACTAGCATAGCAATCAATCGTTATATCCTTCATTTAAATCACGGATGCTTAGATAGTAAAAACGTTTTGATACATTTGTGCCACGTATAATTAATCCAAATGTTGAATGCTAATTATTTATTTATTTAAAGTAAAAAGAATTTTCCACGTTAACTACTACTACTACTGCACTAACACGTTGCCAGTGTACAAAAAAGGGTACTTTTGGTCATTCGTGACTAAAATTTCACTTAAAAATGGCATTCATGTAAATAAATCAAGTATGGAGGGCAATATTTATCGATGTGTAGCTATAAAAATAATACAAGTATCATTTCTGAGGAGGCAACAGACACACTACACAACACGGTTGGCTGGTTGGTTTTTGCTAAACTCAAACTCTTGGAGAATAATCTGAAACACCATCAATTGGTCGGCTAAGCTTCAATTTGAGGTATGTTAGAGGTAACAAGACATGTGCTTTGATGTGGGTTTGTGTTTGTTTTTGTTCAAATTACGGTTTGGTTTGTGTTTGTTTTTGAGGATTGGATTTGGTCGGTGTTGGATTTGGTTGAGTGGTGTTTTGAGTTCAAGTTGAGGTCAAAGTTTGATTCTTTTGGTGATTGTTTGTGATTTGAGCATCTGGGTTAGTGTTAAGATTCATGAAATTTTAGTCCTTTATGTTTTGTTTTGTTTTGTTTTTTAATTGGTTTCTAAGTTTAGAAATGAATTGGTTTTTGTTTAGAAACAGTGATCAAGCTTATGAATCAGATGTTTATAGTTACAAGTTCGAAGAATTTAATGTAAAAAAGCATGGTCGGTGGCTTTGTGGAGTTTTTTATTGCTTGAAATCTGATGTTGTTTCATAGATTTGATATGATTAAACATGTTACCGGTGTTAATCTGAGTGATTAATTGGTTTGGTTTGCATAAATCTCCTGATTTGAGTCATAGAAAACCTTAGACGCTCTTTGAATCTGGTGATTAAATTCAATATTGATTTTCTTTTTTCTTTTTTTTTATTTTTATAAATTCAATGTACAGGGCCTTGAACTTTGGCATCTGGAATGAAATTTCCTTATTCTTGATTCTTTTTCAGTTTGCCGTCCTTTTGAGTTCGTTGTCTGTTCGCCCACTACATTTACTTTTTAGCTTTAAAGTGCCTTTTCCTTTTTACTGTGGCTTAAATTGTTTTCATTGGATGAAGAGTTGAATCAGTGTCCTAAGCTTTTAATTTAAGAGATGCTGAGTAGTGAGTAGGTTCTAATGAGAGTTGACTCTATGTTATGGTTTCGAAGTTTTCCAGATTGTTTTTGCTTTAAACTGATGCCGCTTCTAGGATTCATCTTTGTGTTTGATGATTTTGCGCTTATTATTAAAAAGATTAGTTGCTTAAAAGAAAACTTTCTTTTGCTTCTTTTGGTTGTAAGTTGTAAAGTTTCTGTTGGAAATTGTCGTCTTGTTGTATATCCACCTGTGCCCTGTTTGGCTGCACTTGGTGCTATGTATCTGTCCATTGAGCCCTTACGAAGGCACTGGTATAGGGAAATCGTTGAAAGTAGAAGGTGAATTAGGAAGTAATGAAGTCCTAATCTTTTAGTTGTACTTTTCTTCCGAGTCTTTTGTGTAGAAGCCAGATCTGAAGTTTCTTTCTACAGATCTTTACTAAAATCTCCTTTTTCTTTTCTTTTTCATTGTTTTTTTGGAAATGAAATTCGTGAGACTGGAGTTTGGAATTGAATGGATTGAGTATAACGTTTGTTTCTTTGGTTTCTTTTTCAGACTCTGCTGATTCTGTGATACATCTAGTGAGCGGACTGAAGCAGTTTGTGACCATCATTGGTGCTAACAATTGACAATCAAAGAATCTAGCTGTGTTTCAAGAGCCACTGGATTCATAACTGTTTAGGGAAGAGATGGAGATTAGTAGCATGTTGCTCTTTCTCAAATGAGTACTCTTGCCAAGTCACAGAAATATTTCACTTTTAAGAGGGCTGCTGATATAACTCCTACTCTTCATACTTTGTGCTAAGTCAATTAGTGGGGTTAGTCTTAGATGCAAACATCTCAGAATCACCAAAGTTCAGCTAGTGTTCATAGCGTGTTCCACCAGCCTGTGCAAGGGATTGAATCCTATCGCTTGCCTCATATCCAAATACTGGACAACAATACGTGCTCTGATGGCGGCAGCCAAGGAACCAGTGGATCCTATCAAACCCACAAGGAGCAGTTCCATACCTTGGAATCATCCACAGCGACTAATGGTCTTATTGCCTACGATTCTCCTTCTGCCGTCAGCATCTCATCTAATAGGAGTCCCTTTTCACCACAAGGTTCCCATTCATACCTGTCAGATCCTCATCAGTCCCCTGACAATGCTTATGGATCACCCTTGAGCGGATCTTCTGGTGTTGATGATGGCAATGAATTTATGTACAAACTGAGAGAATTGGAGAGAACGTTGCTGGAGGACAGCTGCAGCTGCTGTTTTCAGAGTGGGGCTCATCAAGGCATTTCAGCACAAGGTAGGAATTTGATGGAAATGATCCCTATGCTAAACTTGAAAGATGTGCTGTTGTACTGTGCTAAAATGGTATCTGAAGGTGAAGGTGATCTATTAACAGCGGTAGATTTAATGCTTGTGTTGGAGCAAATGGTTTCAGTTTCTGGGGAGCCAATTCAACGCCTGGGTGCTTACATGTTGGAAGGGCTTAGAGCAAGATTGGAATTCTCGGGGAGTAAAATCTACAAAGCATTGAAGTGTGAACAACCAACAAGCTCAGATCTAATGTCTTACATGTCTGTCCTCTTTCAGATTTGTCCATATTGGAAGTTTGCTTACAGATCAATGAATGTTGTCATTGGGGAAGCTGTGGCAAATGAGCCCAGAATTCACATCATTGATTTCCAGATTGCACAAGGCACCCAGTATATGTACCTCATCCATGCTCTTGCAAAACGGCATGGTGGGCCCCCATCTCTCCGCATAACCGGGATTGATGATTCACAATCACTTCATGCTCGAGGTGGAGGTCTTGATGTTGTGGGGAAGAGGCTTGCAGAGGTTGCTGCATCATGCAATGTGCCATTTGCGTTCCATGATGCTTCTGTGTCTGCTTGTGAGATTGAACTAAAACATCTTATAATTCAACCTGGAGAAGCTATAGTTGTGAATTTTCCTTACGTGCTGCACCACATGCCAGATGAGAGCGTGAGCACTTTGAATCCTAGAGATCGGCTATTGAGATTGGTGAAAAGTTTGTCACCCAAAGTTGTGACCATTGCTGAGCAAGAATCCAACACCAATACTTCCCCATTCTATTACAGGTTCTGTGAGACAATGGATTACTATATGGCTATGTTTGAATCAATAGATGTAGCTTGTCCAAGGGATGACAAGCAGCGAATCAATGCAGAGCAGCACTGTGTGGCTCGGGATATAGTCAATATGATAGCTTGCGAAGATGCTGAAAGGGTGGAAAGGCATGAACTTCTCGGGAAGTGGACATTACGATTGAAAATGGCTGGATTCATGCCGTATGCAATGAGTCCTTCGGTGACTAATGCTGTTAGAGATATGTTGAAGGAATACAGCACCAATTACAGTGTTGTAGAGCATAATGGGGCGCTCTATCTTCGCTGGATAAACAGAAATATGGCAACTTCTTCCGCTTGGAGGTGATAAGAAGCTGAGAACGTTTTGTAAATTTAACTCACTGGTTTTGTTGTGACTTTTAGAGACTGAGTCAAGAGTGAGATTTGTAATTCAATAGAATTTGAGAGTAGCTTTCTTCAAATACAGCCTATAGCATAGAGCAGGATGCCAACTTCAACTTCACTGTAAATGCCCATCTTGGAATGATACGGAGATACTGTTTTGAGTTTATTTTACACCCATTTAAGAACTGATATGTGCCCCAGTATTCATTGAACACTCATTTCCTTATTACAACATGATATTATCAAAGTTCTTATATTAAATTTTAAATCATTTCAACCGACCACTATAATTAACCAGACACACTATAAATTCCTTATAAAAATAACAAAACAACTATAATTAGAGGGTTGATTTTGTTATTTTTGGAACTTGGGTTTTATGTAGTTGCCCCTATAAAATGGGAAAGGCCTATTCGAAGTTGAAACGTCATCGTTTTAGAGGAGAAAAAAACCAGAATAGCCTGAGAAACCACAACAGAGGCAAAAACGAGCCATTACAGCAATACATTGGTGTCAAATACTGATTTGGCAAAATTTGCTGCCAAAACGGTTAAGAGAAAAAAAAAAAAAAAAAGAAAAACAGACCAGCTGGGTTCGATCGTACGTATGTATCTAAAACTCAACTCTTAAAAGCACATCGTTTCTGTTTGGTTATGTTCTGTTCTGTTCTGTTCTGGCTCTCTTAAGTTACAACAAAATCATCCCAGGTAAAGTTTTGGCCTTTTTCATGGTATTTATGTGATGAAATCATGATTATTTGATGTGGGGTTTGTTCTTTTTCATGTGATTGAATTGATTAAACCCACGTGGGATTGTTGCAATTTTATCGTTTTGTGTGATCAAGTTGGAGTCTTGTTGCAGAATTTTAGTGCTTTATTGTTGAATGTGAAATGAAAATGGAAGGGGTTGAAAGATCAGAGTTGAGGAAGTTGCAGAAGGAGCAGGAGAGAGAACGACGGCGTTTAAGGGATAGACAAAGAAGACAATCTATGAGTGTTGAAGAGAGGGAAAAACATCTTGCTAGACGTCGAAGGAATTACCAACTTAGAAGATTAAGAGCTGGAATTGGAATTGCTCCATCTCAATCTGAACACGAACACGAACACGACCAAGAACAAGAACAAGAACAAGAACCAACTTCCTCAACCGATCAGCTTCTTGCATTACCTTCCTCGGATCCTAGTACTGCTCAATGTAATAATGATGTTCTTGCTATTGAATCTCATCAAGCTGTCACAAACTCCACAAACTCTGAAAGTGAGGTTTTGTTTCTTTTGCATAGATATTTCTTTGTTTGTTTGTTGTTTTGTTTTAATGGAAACAATTGCATATTTGTAATATTTTGTTGTTAGGTTTAGAGGTTCCAGTTCATAAATTGGCCCAGTTTTCTGGGCAGCTGAGATTAAATCGTGTAAAGAGTCTTGCACGGTCGTTGAATGGTCATGTTGGTGACAATCATGTGATGATAAAGGCAAACGAAGTTTCTAGTGGTAAGTTTTAATAGCAGTAGATTTTGTAATGGTATTTTGCTGGGCTTGATTTATGTGTTGGAGATTTTTTTTTTTTCTTTTTTTTTTTCAGATATAATGGCTAAAGGGTTGCGGTTGAATCGTGTTAAAAATCTTGCGCGGTCATTGAATTCTGCTGTGAAAGAGAGTTCCAATCAAAACCACCCAAGACAGATAGAAGGTTTGAAGGTGTTTTTTGTTTCAACTATAAGATGGCACATAGGTTTTTGATGAATGTGAATTTGATTGTGGAATCTTTGATTCAGTTGATAAGTAACTCTGAACAAAATTTACTCAAACTAATACGCTTAGAGGCAAAAGTGAAAGAAATTTGCTCGGTTTTAGGCTAATATAGATGTTTTCATTAGATAATTGCCTTAATGGTTTCTGTTTATGATGGCTGTTGGTTGATGTTAGGATAGAGATTCTTCTTGGACAGTTCAATAAGGTTTTGATATTACATTTCAGGATGAGCCTCTTTCTTGTTCTAATTTGGTCTGCGACATACGAGGATGAAATTTACTTGGCTCCTTCAAAATGTCTTGATTGAGGATGTGTATGTAAGTTGCTTAGAGAGTGCAAATTTCCTCTGAGCTTCATGTGTAGTATACAGCCTTTGTATATAGCTGGATTGAAGAAATATCATATTGGCTTCTTTAAGGATGAAAATTGTTTAGCAAGCCTTTCCAAAATCTAAAATGTTCTAATTTGTTATTTTTGCTAAGATGATTAAATTAGTTTCAGGAAGTGGATGTAACTTGTAAACATTGTAACATTGTAGCTTTTGGATGAGGATTGGATGAACTGTTTAACTGCATTTGTATCCTATGCAGAAATTATTCAAAACTTCTTGTTCTTGTGTTTTCTGCAAAACATCTGCTATCTCGATGAAGAATTTGGTTCATTCTGTTAATAGTGCTTTTGGTATGCACCTATAACCAATGAATGATGGATGAATAATGTATATGATTTTGTAAGGCTCAAACTGACAGCTTTATCAAGAACCGAGGGAAAACCAAATGCGGATCAAGGATGTAACAAACAGAGACCTGAATTTTAGTGTAAAAAAATGAGTCCTAAAAGAAATCAGAATGACAAATGCAGCTCTAGCCAATCCTGATATCTGTCTTAGTTGTGCTTCTTGTGAAATGGTCCCAGAATCAGTCTTTCAATCTGATAGCATCTTCTTGAACCTCTAGAGGTACAATTTTGACAAATAGCTGTATGCTGTAATATCTGATATTAGTTCTTATTTGTTAGGTTTTGTAGTTGTAATTACAGTGCAGATACTTATAGTTTCTTTTGCCCCTTTGGTTTATTCTCTATATTCATGCTAGAATACTTGATCTTTAGTGAAAAGCATACATTGGACAGCTCCTGCTTCGGACTAATTATATTCTTAATGCTTAATTATTCTTGCAGGATGGAAATTGATACTGTAAAGGGCATTGTGGATATCGGAGATGGGTATTCTTTGAAGTTAACAGAGTGATAGGAAAAAGCCATGAACTGGAGATAGATTCTGTTATTATATTTGATTTTTTTTTTTTCTTTTTCTTTTGGGATGCATTTCTCATACATAATGATTTATTCTCAATCAAGTAGCTAAATTCTGTAAATTGGTCTTTGTTTTTGGATTCTTTTTGTTCTTAGCCTTAAAACATTCTTTTAAGTTAATCCTACCACCATTTTTCTCTATTTTCTAACCTATGGAAGTGAAAATGCCCACCAAAAATAAAATAAAATATAATAACAGGCCTGAAAGATATATATATAAAAAGTTGAGATAAATTAAAAAAAAAAAAAAGTAATAAGACATTTTTAACTGAACAATAATTGATATATTTAAAGTCAAAAGATAAATATTAAAGAAATATTGCAGTAACTTTTATTTCGTCTCTAAATCGAAAACATGTATTCATTTATTTCATCCCTAAATCTAAAACATGTATTCCTCTTGAATGCATTCCAAAGAGCAAGTCTAAATTCCTCATCACGCTAAAGACAAACATATTATTAACCCATTGTAAGAACCCATGATGTGAATTTCTTCTTAGTTAGGAGTATTATCTACAAAACCTAGCATGTTAACGATGTTTTGGCCGAGAGGCCGATGGCTTGCCATGTGGTAATTGTCGATGCAGTCATGTTATGGTGAAAATACAACCTCCTAAATTCTTCACTACTTGACTGTTGACTGTTGATCAAGTGAAAAATAATTTTAATTGCCTCCAACATCTCAAATGAATATTTAGGAGTAGAAATAAATATAGATTATGCTTGCATTCTATTTTTCATGTTACCATACATATTATCAAGATAGGGAAATTTTCCATGTTTCATTAATGGCATGATTGAGCTTATCATGTTTTATACATTATAGCTAGCAAAATTCAATTATTATGATAAGGCTAACAAATGTCCTCACTAATTACTAATAATATATAATTTTTAAATTTATAAGGAGATAATTATATATTAAAATTATTATGATACAAAAATAACGTATAAAATTTTAAAGGATACTTTCTCATGTTTTTATATCAAGCTCAACAAACATGAAGAATTGATTCCATGCAAATATTAATCCGTAATTTTTCAGATTTTAATTGGAAATTATCAATTTCATCCTTTTATTTGTTTGAATTTGACACTTTGACCCCCAAAATCAATTGCTTTTTCCTTTTTTTTGGCCAGTTTGCATGCATCTCGATTAATCTTCAGGGGGAGCTATCACATAGCAACCCACCATCGTGGCTCTCCAGATAAATCATGGGCAAATGTACTACATCCCAGTGGAGAATCGAACCTAGGACTGTGGGTTGGACTATTTACCGCTCTAAGGGAGTTATAAAAAGTGAATATGCCTAATAACATATATATGATAATACATAATAATTCAATTCAACGAAAAATGTGTTTAATATGTTTCATTTTAAATGATTAAAATATAATAATATACTGAAATTAATACAGAAAAATAAAATAAAATAAAATTCTAAATATTATTTATCTATAATCGAATGAAATATAATTTCTAAGAAAAATTAAAATAAATACAGTTAATACTATATTCACAGATACTTCTCACTAATTTTCTCTCACAAATGCGACATATCAACTTGTGATTGGTCAGCTTGCAATGAGTCCCGCCTACCCAGCAATGGGTTTCGCCTGCCCAACAATAGGTTATGCTTGACCAAATACGAACTGATCAATTGTGAATTGGCACAATAGCATTTGTGAAAGAAAGTTGTGAGAAGTGTTTCTCGATCCATCTTTATTTCAAATACTAAAATTCATTCCCAGTTCAACACATATGCTTAAATCCAAAGAAAATCCGTAATTCTTGTTTGTTTAATGAATCTTGTGATCTTGAAAACCAGTTCTAAGAAACTGATTCATATTCCTCTACAGCAAGGAATTCAATCTTCTCTACACTATATAAACCCAAACGTTTTTGTTTTTTTCAATTAACTTCATGTTCATTGGTTGCTTGGTCTGCAAGTTTCATTGAAAACACTGAGCTACTGCTGCTTCTGATTCCTGAAATTTCTGTAAATTAACAACAATGGCTTCTGCTAATGTCCCCCAAGAAAGCCTCTTGCTTTCTCTTTCTGGTCATGGCTCTTCAACTTCAAGAACCCATCAGCCAAGTCCCATGCCACCCACCCACTATGACTCCTTCCTTTTCACATAGTATCTGGGCTGGTAGTTGATGTTAGGATAGAGATTCTTCTTGGACAATTCAATAAGGTTTTGATATTACATTTCAGGATGAGCCTCTTTCTTGTGCTAATTTGGTCTGCGACATACGAGGATGAAATATACTTGGCTCCTTCAAAATGTCTTGATTGAGGATTTGTATGTAAGTTGCTTAGAGAGTGCAAATTTCCTCTTGAGCTTCATGTGTAGTATACAGCCTTTGTATATAGCTAGATTGAAGATATATCATATTGGCATCTCATCTTTAAGGATGAAAATTGTTTGGCAAAACATCTGCTATCATGAAGAATTTGGTTCATTCTGCTAATAGTGCTTTTGGTATGCGCCTCTAACCAATGAAAATACTTGATCTTTAGTGAAGCGAGACATTTTATTTTCTAAACACATATGAGATTTAAAATATAAATGCAGTTGGATAGCAGATCGAGAATATATGTGCTGCTTCTTCTTCAGGTCATACCATGAGGTCTATTTCTAGGACAAGTTCAAGCAAATGCAAGTTAGACCAGGACTTCCTCTCTTCCTATTCTTCCATCATCACCACCTCAACAAAATTAGAACCTTATGTCAGATTCAGGTGGCTATCCGAGAACGCTATTTTCCTAGTTTTCATATGCACAAAATGTGAAAGTTACAGACATTTGGTCAATGAAGGAATTTGACGTGGAGGCGACATGGACAGAGCTATGTGGTGGGTGAAATTTATATCAACACACAAGTTCATTCATGTATGGTGAAATTTATATTAACACAAATTCATTCATGTTTTAAAACTAAGAATGCAAATGAAAGTATCTCTATCTTTGAAGTAGAAATTACAAACCCAACTTCAAAAGAAGCACAATAGTGGCAATGAGAGCCTATACAGGTTATCAAAATGTTCTACAATACTTTAGATCTTCAAAAAACAGAACAAAATGTACTACTTCTAAGGATGTTTACATATCTCTACCTTTCATTCATCAGCTTTGCTGTCTACGCCAAGTGAAACCAAACTTTCAATGCACATCACAGCTTCGAAACCTTTAGTGAAACGAGGTAAGAAAAATTCCTTTGCTTCATTATCCTTCAAATCATACCAAAGCAAAGTATTGAACCCGACAGCTAGGAGAAGCTTTTTACCCTTATTCGTATATGCCAAAGGCATAATTTTGAAGTACGAGGCTTGGTCAGAGTCTTCAAGCCTAACTATATCCTGTACAGCCCAAGGTACCCTTTTTTTTACCACCCATATGACAGCAGAGTCCTCTTTTGATTCACACATACTTAAGCAGCCTCCTAAAACCCCCAAATGGAGTTCAGCACTATCGTCAACATTAGGAAGTTCCAGCTGATCAAACTTTTCCGCCTCTAGCTCAAACCTAACAAGTAAGTGTTTTGCAGTTGGTTTAGTCCATGCCAACCAGTATAAATCACCATCTAGAAAACACCCATTATTGGGAAAATCAGACCCACCGAATGGGAAATCTTCGACCTTTGTCCATGAATTTAATTTCAAGCTGTAAACCTTTATTTCAGTTTCCAATAGGTTACCTTTCTTGAAAGACTGGATGATTTGGACCACCTTGTAGTCATCTTTCACGCATCCAAGTCCATGGCTCAGATGTTGTTCCCCTCCTTGAATCCTGTTGACCTTAGCCATGGGTAACATTTTATATCTCCTCGTGAATGGATTCCAGAGAGCAAGCTTAAACTCCATATCACAATAAAGACAGATTAACCCATTGCAAGAACCCACAATTTCATAGTCTTTTTTAAACCGTTTGCTGTAAATTTCTTGCAGTACTTGATTAGGAGTATCATCAACAAAACCTAGCTTATGAATGTTCTTTTGGCCTTGACGCCGACGGCTCGACACAAACACATGGAACTTGTCCCTACTAGTGTTGCTATGGTGAAGGTACAAACTCTGAAATTCCTCACTGTTGATCAAATCACGCCAGTACTGTGATACGCATTTAAAACGCACCAGCATCTCGACTGGAAGTCGTAGAATCGCAAACTCGATTGCCAAATCCTTACCAGATTCTGACATTTCTTCATGATTGGATCCTGAATTTTGACCCAAGACTTCCATAACTTTTCAAGAGCTAATTGATGATATTGTGAATTTCAAAACGATAAATTGTGAGGTCCGACCTTCCTGTCACTGACAAACAGATAATCATTAGTTAGCTGCTCTGTTTCAGGGCTCCGAAAGACAACAAGAATCATATAACTCAATTGAGTTTACCTCCTAATAATACTGTTATTATAACTATAAAAGATATTAAATTCATTATTTGCGGTAGGTTTTGCCATGGCATCAAAGTCATCAAGTTTAACAAAGATACGTGAGAAATTGTAGTTTGGTTCCAGAAAGGTTACCCAAAAAGAAAGTTCAAGATCATACCTGATGAGGCGCTCTCCTCCTCCGCTCCACAATTTCTCTGTTCCCGGTCGAAGTTATTTATTTTCAGCTGAAGCGAAATGGTGAGAAATTCTTGATTGTTTGGGAGGAAAAGAATTAGATAGGTGAGAAGAAGTTGTTTGTTTACAAAGAAAGTTCCAGATATGTAGCCTAGGGTTTGCAAACTTCCTTTCGGCTTAATGGATAACTATGTCCATCCGAAGCCACAGAGTTAGCTACATGGTTTTTGCGGCAGGTACAGTGTTAGATCCAAAGTTGATTCCCGCCGCGGGCAACACACATTCGGCAACGAAGCTATTTTTTAGGAAATTTCCAATTAGTCCCTGAAGATTTTAAATATAGAAAAGCACCCTTGACAAGGCTTACACGGATATACCTGCGCGCGGGAAAAATCATGTTTGACCTTTTCTTGTTTCCAAATCCACCCCTGCCTTATTAGATTTGTTGGTGGTTGCCCTCGACCAGCATGAAATATTTATTCAACCAACTTAATATTATTTCGCGGCTATATACGAGAAGTATATTTTAATTTCACATTTTAGATCTGCAGTATCCTATGTTTTATTATGGTTTAATTATCAATGAAATTGCATATCTTTTTATTATATTGATATTATGAGTAATTTGATAAACATAATGCTTTTTATCTCTATCAAAGATGATACTGGAGTCTTGAAACTTTATCCGATTAATCTTTGCCGTTGCTTGCAAACTTATATAGATTAATTGAGAATTATTGTAATTTCAATGATCAATGCTGGCTATACTTTTAATTTAAATCTAGAATAAATTATTTATAGAATATAGTGATGAGCAAACTAGCTAGCCGTTTTGGAAGCCTAAGGTCATTTTGGTCATATGGTAAATGTGTTTGGACTAAGAAAGTAGGGACCCCGCAATACACTTTTAAACGCATCTAATTCAATCTGATTCAGTTGCTCATATTAATATGTTTAAACATCATTCCAATTTTATTTCATATAAAAAAACCAATTGGAACCGAACCGATGGATACTCGAGGTTTGATTCCAGTTCCTATCCAGAATCGGCCATCAATAGGTAGGTTTTGGTTCTAAATTTTTGAAACCATAACCTTGAACCGAAACTAATATAAAATAAAATTAAAGAGTAAGGGGTTAATAAAAACTTTTATAGAGAAAGTAATGTGAATACATTTATATTTATATTTCATAACATTTAAAGTAAGTTGGTTTGGTTTTTAAGAATCTACCTTTATAAAGTAATGAAGTTTGTAATTTGCAATTTGATTTTTGTTAACAAGTGTCAGATGACGAGATATTTGTAAGTTTTTAAGGATTTTTTGCTAGTTTAAAAACTTTTGGGGGTAATTATAGTTTTATAGGGTACCTAGAACCAGAACCGGAACCAGGACCGTTGTTACAGGTTCCAGTTCTGGGTCTAAATTTCAAGGAACTGTTAGTTCTGGTTCTAGTTTTAGTTCTTTCAAAAAATACAGGGTACTTGGAATCGAACACTCCTAATAAAGGGTATGTGTGTAACAACCACAAACAGGGTAAGGTCAGTATTCTTATTAAGGGGCTCTCAAAATTAATAATATATATATATATACACTTGTAGGAGAAGTTATTTCACTCTTCGTTGAATACGCTAGAAGCTTTGTAGGGCCATGCCTAGTTAGTAAATTCGCGTTTTATACGCGAATTATACGGCTAGCCGTATAATTCCCGTATAAAACGCGAATTCACATATTTTATTAGGGCTGCCGTATAATTCGCGAATTATATACCCTATCCGTATAATTCGCGAATTATACCCGAATTATTGCCGAATTTTTGCAGACAAAAAAATAATTACATGATAAGGCAAAACGACGTCGTTTTGGTGGGGTTTGACTAAAATTAAAAAAAATCTCCTTCTCCTCTTTCTCGGTTCTCTCTTCCACAGTCTTCATCTCTTCTTCAAATCTTCAACAATTCAACTCTTTTTTCTTCATCTCTTGACTCTGAGTCTTGATCTCTTCTTCTCTTCTCTTTTTAAATTTTAACTCTCTTCTCCAAGCTTTAAGTCCAAGACTTCAACTCTTCAAGCCTCAAGCTACACACTTCTTCTCTTCTCTTTTTAACTCTCTTTGAATCTTGTATGTTGGTGATTTGTTTGTGTTTGTGTTGGTGTGTGAGTAGTAGTAATAGGGGCTGGTGGATTGATGGATTTGTTATGTTGGTGGATTGATAGATTTGTTTGAAACATGTTTGATGAAATGCTTGTGAGAGTTATATTTGGTATCTGTTTTAACATAATATTTCATTTTAGTTTGTTGTTTTGTGTTGTATGGGTCAAATGAAAAGACTAAAGATCATCTATGAAAGCAAAAGGTAAAGGCAAAATTGCAAAAGAAAAATGAATTCATAAAATAATATTGTCGGGCTTGGATTTGGAATTGACAGATACTTAAAGAAGAAGAAAAAAGCAACAAACCATCAGTTTACAACCAACGCCAACTGCAAATTGTAAACCCATGTGCACTTTGTCATGTTTTAGATTTCATAACACTATTATTATTTGACCTTTGAATGTACTGTCCAATTAAATTCAGAAAATAAACAACTATACTAATTGGAATCCAAACTTTGTATGCGTAGCTATAAAATTAAGGATAAAATACTAGTCTTAGTTATTGTTCAAATATACTTTAATTAAAAGGAAAATAAATTGTAGGTCGACCACAATGGATTATTTAAATGGGGATGTTTTGAAAAGTGCTAAAACCAAGATTGCTATTGCCGTATTTTTCAAACGTATTATTGACAATTTGTCGTATTAAACCCGTATATATCCGAATCGTATTTTTTCCGTATCCGAATTTTATGACCGAATTTTTACAAACGTATTTTTCACCATTTGCCGTATCATACCCGTAAAATTCCGTCCCCCCTTTTTTGCCGTACCCGTATTTACTAACTAGGGGGCCATGTCCATCTAGACCTGAAGATCATTAGCTCTAAGCACATGCAGTCAACCGGGACTCCCTCTTCCTATTGTTCCATCATCAACACTTCAACAATATTAAGACCACCATGATTTAAGTAGGTGGTTTATAGTGTGGGATACTATCTAATCACTTATAGGGATTATTGAGTGTACGCAAACTGGCTCAGACATTCTATTTTAAAAAATGTTTATTAATTCATGTTTTATAAGATTGTTTGAAGAATTGAAAAGGATTTCCCATGCAAATATTTAATCCATAATTTTTCAGAATTCAATAAGAAATTACCACTTTCATCCTTTTTTTCGTTTCGGCTTGACACTTTGACCCCAAAATCAATTGCTTTAGGCTATCTAAGTGAATATGCCTAATAACATATAAATTAATTAAAACATTATATTCAACAAATAATATTAATATATTATATTTTAAAAAAAAATCACCAATATTTAAAAAATAATATATATGTTCTATCAGTAAAATTCAATTAAACAACAAATTTGTACATATATTACATTTTAAATTATTAAATATAGTAATATACTGAATTAAACAATATATTTATCAGGCCAATAGTAGAATAACAGATATATACTATAACATATTATAAAATAATAATTAAATAAAAAAAAATAAAATTCTAAAAAATAATAAAATAATATAAAAAAAAAAATAAAAAAAAAAGTATATAATAAAATAAAAAAAAAAAATAAAAATTTAAAATAATAATACTTATACTATAAAAAATAAAAAAACAAATTATTATTTATCTATAAACCGAATTAAAATAATTTCTAAAAAAATAAAAAGTACAATACTAAAGTTCATTCCTATTTCAACACATACTTAAACAAAATGATAGAGTTACCGAAAGTTACACACCGAATTGTACACCGAATGACGTGATAAAATCCTGACCGTTAATTAATATTATTATAATGAATCAACGGTCAGTATTTCGTCACGTTATTCGATGCACACTCTTCGATAACTGTAACATTAGTCATACTTAAATATGTAATTATCCGTAATTCTTGTTTGTTTGATGAATCTGTAATCTTGAAAACCAATCCTAAACTGATTCATATTCATCGACAGCTAGAAATTCAATCTTCTCCACACAATATAAACCCAGAACGATTCTGTTTTTTCAATTAACTTCGTGTACATTGGTTGCTTGCTCTCAAGTTTCATTGAAAACACTCAGCCTACTGCTGCTGCTGCTGCTTCTGATTATGGCTTCTGCTAATTCCCCCAATAAAGCCTTGCTTTCTTTAGTAATCTTTCTCTTTCTGGTCACCGCTCTTCAACTTCAAGAACCCATCAGCCAAGTCCCATGCCACCCCCACCCACCATGACTCCTTCCTTTCACAAAGTATCTGAACCGTTAGTTGATTTAGGATAGAGATTCTTCTTGGACAATTCATAAGGTTTTGATATTACATTTCAGGATGAGCCTCTTTCTTGTGCTAATTTGGTCTGCGACATTCCCTATTACGCCGTCTTAATTTTAAAATTTCATTAATACTCTTATTTAAATAATGTAGTGTTCTTTTTAATCATTTAATAATAAATATATTATAAACTACATTTTGAGTAGATGCGTTAATTATTTTTAATCACTTATAAATATTTACCAAACCAAAATGCTTAAATTTTAAACGCTTATAACATATTAATTTTCTAGGCAGTTAAGCCAAACAGGATCATAAACTTGTTCATGAAAATCTGATGCGGTCACCCACAGGCCACAGCGAAGCCGCACGGCAGAAGCACCATTTTGTAAAGGCCGAACGACTTCCACTTACCTAAAGTTTGGCATAAAGACAGATTACACCAAAAGGTTTGAAAATGACAAACAAATACTTTCTGTCATATTCTGTTAGGGATTTCTGTCTGCTAAAAGACAATATAGTAATTTCATTCTCACCACCAACCGTTTGCATAGCCCCTTTGCATCATCGATCGTTTTTGATCGGATTTAGCATTTTTCTGCGAAGTTTATGATAAACAGTGGCATTGGCCCTTCTGGCATGCGTTGGGAATGGAGATCGGTGGTATTCTTGTCTTTTCACCTATTTTTGTCTTTTAGCAGATGAAAATCCCTAACAAAACATCAAAAAAGTGGTGTTTGTCATTTCTAAATCTTTTGGGTACCACTTTGTCTTTACAGAAAACTTTGGGTATTGTAAGTCGTTCCCCCTTTTTATAAATTCAAATCCCTGGAAATAAATTTAAAAAAAAAAAAAAAAAAAAAAAAAAAAAAAAAAAAAAAAAAAAAACTCATTTAATAGCGTAAAATGACAGTCCTATGGGTGATGACGGCTGTTTATTTGTATGTGTTTGTGCAAGTATGAGAGCACAAAATTCTCATCACCTCATACTTGCTTAGGGTTTTGGTTTCGGTTCTATTTTGTGTCCGAAGCGTAAGTTGGACGATTAGGCCCCTAACTACGACGCGGAAACATCTGAACTCGTATCCGTGAGAATGCGAAAAGACGAACCTAACGCCGTCCATCAGTCCTCCGACTTGATTCGCCCAGTCGTGTCGGATGCAGCCGAGACCAGTTCGGCTGAGTCAAGAACAAAAACTCGGCCTAGACTTCAGTTTTTTATTCGGATGTTATCGGAGGGTAATACTATAGTTGTTCAAGCTGACTCAAACGACACCGTTAAGTCAATTCACGAGAGGATTCATGTGATGACGGGGATCCCGGTCATGGAGCAACGGTTAATTTACCGGGGAAAGCAGTTGCAGTGGGAACAGTCGTTGGCGGAGTGTTCGATACAAAACGCCGCCGGATTACAGCTGGTAGGGCGTATGCGAAGCACGGAATATCCACAAGCCTGGCAAGTGATTGATGATATGGTGGGTGTAATTTGTCGGCTTTGTAAAGGTGAAACGGTACAGTCCTCATTAAAACTCATAAAATCTCGGATGACCGAGTTTTTTGCAATGACACCAAAGGATGATACTGAATTAGCAATTGGTTATCTTCAAATATTTTTGTATTCATCTGCTCCGGCTGCGTTGTTAATGCTTTATATGTCACCAATGAATGGTAACAAAGAATGTGCTGATAGTTCAATTAGGCATTTTTTGAATTCTTGTAAAAATGCATTACCCAAGAATTTACATAAGCAATGTGCACCCATAGTTCTAGAGTTTTGTAAATTGCTTAGGAAGTTTACTCCTGAGGATACGTTGTATTTAGCATGCCGGAGTACATTGGGATCATTGTTGGAGAATTTTGGTGGGGCGTTGTGGGAAGAGATTGGTGTCCTGCGGGCAACAAAGTATGGAGATGACGTTAAGGGGTTGGCTGTGATTCAAGATGTTTTTCCCTTTGTTAGTGAATTGGCTAGTAGGTTGTCTAGGGATTTGACTTCAAGTATGGAGATGGTGTTGAGCGTGGGGCCATTGGTGAGTGATGTTCGTGATTTTACTGCGCTTTTGGTCCCTTTACGTAAGGCGATTTTGGGGCAGATGGGAATTACATGTCCTATTGCAGTGCCATTGCCGAAGAGGGGATATAACCATCCGTCTCATGGGGATGAGATTGAGTATCTTCATGGTATATTTCGCGACCTACTGATGAGAATGGATAAATGCCTTGGTAAAGTGGAGGAACGTTTAAATGTGAGAGGTAGTGGGGATGGTGAAATTAACTATTCAGGATGGTCGCAGTATCTTACCATATTGAAGGAATTATATGCCATATCTAAACTTTATCAGGGCTCTGAAGAGCAATTTTGGAAGGTTTTGAGACGTAGAAAGTCACCTTTGTGTGCTCTGATTCTTAGATATGCAAAGCGGAGTGATGATCATCGGTGGCTTCTTGAGCATAAGGATGTGACGAATTTTGAATCTAGGAGGCATCTGGTCATGATGATGCTCCCTGAGGTAAAAGAAGACTATGAGGAACTGTTTGAGATGCTCATTGATAGGTCTCACTTGTTGGCTGAGTCATTTGAGTACATAGTACGTGCACAACTTGATGCACTACACGGTGGTTTATTCATGGAATTCAAAAATGAGGAAGCTACTGGTCCTGGTGTATTGCGAGAATGGTTTTTCTTGGTATGCCAAGCCTTATTTAATCAACAAAATGCTCTTTTTGTGGCATGCCCTAATGATCGCAGAAGGTTCTACCCTAATCCTGGTAAGCTTCCGTTGGCTTTTGATGCATGTTTTCCTTGAACAGATTTCCACTATTTTTGCCTGTTTCCAGTTTGCTGGCAAACTGTTATTGAGCCCTATTTTCTATAGCTACATAGGCATAATGATATTGTATATGACATGGTCAAGGACATTTTGTTTGCTTTACATTATGGTTTGGGTTACATGTCAACCTTTGGATGTTTAGGAATGTTTCTCAGGCTGATGTAATTTTTGCTGACGGTATTGTATATGACGTGATCAAGGACACCTTGTTTGCTTTACATCATGGTTCGGGTTACACGTCAACCATTGCAAGTGTAGGAATGTTTTTCAGAGTGATGAGGCCATTATTTTTGCTTTATAATTCTTTTGCGGCTGAATGATACTCAAGTTTGAGCTTTATGACACGCAATACCCACGTTGTCTGGAAAATTACAGTTGACCCTCTCCCCCTTTAAGGCGCTCCATTACAGGTTTTCCTAAACCATTTAAAAGATGATGTCATTAAATGACATTGGAAACCAATATCTTTTTAAAGTGCAAATTGCTTGCCATGATTTTTTAGCTAAACTTTTAATAGTATCAAATTCTTATATAGAAATACTATTTTTTATTCACCTGATTAGGGATGAAGGCAAGCACCTTCTTCCATTTGGATCGAGATGCTTGATGCTTTAGACCAAGATAGAGCCTAATATCAATGTGTAGAATTTTCTTCTCTTTTCTTTTCTATACTTTTTTTGAATTTTTTTTTTTTAGCTCTCAAATAGAATCCCTGGCATTAAGAACTGCATGTTACTTGTATCTAATGCCATAATCCAAATGACTTTGGCAATGGATATGAATTTCAACATTGTTATAATCACAGATGGATTTCAAAGATGCAAGTATTTATACTTGACAGGAAAAGAGATAGGGGCAAAATTTCTTTTTTTCTTTTTATTTTTTTTCGGGGGGAGGGAGGGGTGTCAGGTGGCTTCAGGGAGAGTAATGTCGTTTTTGTGAAAAGGGAAAGTCTACCAAGTCCGTGTATCATTTCTGGTCATTGTAGCTGGCGGCAGTGTTGTAGTATTTAGCGGAGGAATGGACGAAGAAATTGTCCTTTATAAGAATTAGCAATAGCTCTCATATCTGAATGCTCTAGCATGAGTAAATGCAGAGCTAGTAAGTCATTAGGGTATTTTACGAAACCCAAAGTAATGCATCAGAATCTTACAACACAGAAAGAAAAACTGAACTGAAGAGAGGAATAAATCTTTAAATCACAATGATTTAGTGTGCATGATATGTACTAATATCTTAACTAAAGCAACTTGACTGCTTTTAATTAGGCACTTGAGTTTTGAACACTGGGCAAGGAGTGTTGAACATTTTTTAACCTCATAAAATCAATTTACAGCATCATGACTATACATGTAAAAGCCTAGTAAAATTTCTAGTGATTTTGCAAAATATATTTCCATTTTCAATATTATAATTTTTTTGGAGTCAAGTCATTGCTTCATAGTAAGTACCTTATTTGACAGCTGATACGTGAAAAAGTAATTTTGGGAATAAAACAGAACAAATCTTGTTTCAAGGATAAAACAAGATGAACATATCTTAATGAGTAGTTACATAAATTTATAAATATATAGTAAAGGGCTGACATGGTAGATGTATAGTATAAAAGGGGCTCCAGGATCCTTCTAGAATGCAATCAGTAATCCTCACTCTATCTCTCGTTGTTCTTAAAACTATTAAGACCCTTGATTTGCCAGCTTCTGCCTTGGGCATGGAATCTTTCATAGGAACCTTGAGCCTCACAATCTCTTGGCAGACCAAAAGCCTTTGATGCTTAAAATAGCATATATTGTGCTAAATTGAGCCTTACCCTTCCACCCTTCCAGTTAAGAAGTTTACTCATAAGTATTAACCCTGCTGTACCGAGCTCCAGAAGTTCTTTTGGGTCTTTTTATTTCTCTACTGCAGTGGATGTGTGGTCTGCCAGCTGTATATGTACTGAAAATACTAGAGTGTAATTTGAGATTATTAGGTACTTAAATAAAAGTACAGCTTGGAATGAGCAGTCTTATGAACTTGATTGAGTACTCGCTATGGAGTCCTTGAAGTCTGTCTTCTGCTGTTGTCTGTTTGGATGAGGAGAGGCTGGATCTTCTTTTCTTAATGGTGATCTATGACCCCTCAAAGCACATCTCAGCAAAGAAAGCTGTGGAACATATTTATTTTGTTGATCTGGAGAAGGTTTTTCTCTGAGAACATTGTGAAGCGTCAAATATATGTAACAGTCAGGATCAGCTAATGGAAGTTCAGCAGTAGAGTGTATTTGCTTCTATCAAGCATATTTCAGTTATTTTATATTTGTTTTAGGATGTATAGCTCAACATTGCATTTGATATTCAATGACTATGATATGCGAAACTGAAAGACAATCATATTCATGTACAAGTAAGAGTGAATTAAAAGGTCTCATGCCTAAACCATGTTTATTTTCTGGCATGGCATTTTGACTCTGAATACACTTCCTTTTCATAGACAGCTGCTGCCATTTCAATTCAAAATTTACAAGTTTTTTATTTTCTAGTCGGTGTGCATCATACATATTTGCACAAATCATATAACTTGAAGAAATACTTTTCCTCTACAACATAACATATGTCTTATGCTTTTTCTTCTATATGCAGCATCTAAGGTGGACCCCATGCACCTCGATTATTTCAGCTTCTCTGGTCGGATAATTGCATTAGCATTGATGCATAAGGTGCAAGTGGGTGTTGTCTTTGATCGTGTGTTTTTTCTGCAATTGGCTGGGAATTATATTTCTTTGGAAGATATACGGGATGCTGATCCACGCTTTTATGATAGCTGCAAGCAGATCTTGGAGATGGATGCCGAGTTTATTGATTCAGATGCCTTAGGACTGACATTTGTTAGAGATATGGAGGAGTTAGGATCCAGGAAAATAGTGGAGCTTTGCCCCGGTGGGAAAAGTATGGTTGTAAATAGCAAAAACAGGGAGGAATATGTTAATCTTCTTATTCAGCATCAATTTGTCACATCTATCTCTGAGCAGGTAACTCATTTTGCAAAAGGTTTTGCTGACATTCTTTGTAACCCAAGACTCCAGAAGTTCTTTTTTCAAAGTTTAGAGCTTGAAGATCTTGATTGGATGCTGTTTGGAAGTTGAAGTGCCATACGTGTTGATGATTGGACAGAAAGCTCATACCGAATACAATGGCTACAAAGAAACTGATCCTCAGATATGCATTATTGTAAAAAGCAAATAGTAGAATTAGGATTCTTATTCTATGTATATTATATATAAGCTTTGTTATTTCAGGTTTCAACAATAATATTTCAGAAGTTTCTTAGACATTTATTACGGCGGAGTCGTGAATCAATTGGTAAGTGGTTTGTTAATTTCAATCGTAATTATTTAGAATGTCAAAAGTCTGTGAAGATTTAATCATAGATATACTTTTGAGACTATTGGTAAAGTCTTTTCTTCGTTTTAGATGTGTGTCAAAGTTATGGCGTGATTTGATCGATAGCAAGTATTTCATTAGTATGCATCGTCAACAATCCATCAATCCCAACACCAACATTCATCTGATCATTGAGGAAGAGGAACATCTCGATAATCTTTACTCATATTTGGGCTATTTTGATGATGATGGTGGGGTAAATGGATCATTAACAACAATAGACAACCCAATGAAGTGTTCAACAATAGGCTCTTGTAGGGGGATGTTTTGTTCAATAGTTGGATGTTGTAATGGGTTGCTTTGCATTCACCATTTTGATTTTGGTCATGTTTTATGGAATCCATTTACAAGGCGGTTTAACAAGTTACCTACTGCACCTGAATTTGTATTTGATCCTCTAAAGAGAATGGAGCTTCACTACGGATTTGGATATGATCATGTAAATGATGACTATAAGGTGGTGAGAATCGTTCAGAGTTTTGACCAAAATAATTTTAACGGCAAATATTATATTATTCATATTGAAATTTGTGTTTACAGCATTGTTTTAAAACCCGGAACAGAGGACAATCCGTTTTGTTGTCTGGGTCACAGGTCAACCAGTCCAACCGGTTGGACCGATGACGTTAGAAACAATTTTATTTTTAAAAAATTACTATTATCCCTCAAATTTTAATATATTACAAAAATTCTCCTAAAAATTTCAAATTAGTCCTTAAATTTTTTATTTATTTGAAAATACCCCAATAAACTCAATTAATCCCTAAACTTTTGATATATCTTTAAAACACCCCTATAAAATTACAAGTAACCCTTATAATTTTGAAATATTACAAAAATCCCCTAAGACCTGAACCGGACCAGAGAAGCTGTCAGGTTCTGATTTGACCGGTCCAATTTTTAAAACAGAGATTTACAGTTTGAGATTGAATTCATGGAAGCGGATTGAAGATTATCTGCCGGATAATCACTAATGAGATAGTAGCTCAATCTCTCATGGTCCAGTTTCCGCTCAGATCATCATCAAATGCTGCCGCTCAGATCATCATCAAATGCTGCCGCTCATGGTCATGGACTATCTCAACCAGTAGTCATATTTACTTTGATACATTACTTCATTAGTATAATCAAATTCGAAACTAAACCAATATAGGAAAAAACAATATAGGTTCTTTTAAACAATACACCAACAATAAAGTAAACCAATATACTATAGCAAAAAAACAGATAACCTATTTAATATATACTTAAATCCATAATTTCTTTTCGAACAAGGTTGTTGTTTGGCCAACGGCTCGACACGGTTGCCGTTGGTGGAGATACAACCTCTTAAATTCTTCGCTATTTGATTTTCTTGATTGTTAATCGTAAATTCTTGATGGTTGATCAAGTGAAAAATATTTTTTAATTACCTCCAACGTCTCAAATGAATATTTAGGAGTAGAAATAAATATAGATTATGCTTGCATTTTATTTTTCATTTTAATATATATAAGATCAAGATAGGGTAATTTTTCATGTTTCATTAATTCATGTTTTATAAGATTGTTTGAAGAATTGAAAAGGTTTTCCCATGTAAATATTTAATCCATAATTTTTCAGAATTTAATTGGAAATTATCACTTTCATCCTTTTATTCGTTTCAGCTTGACTTTGACCCCCAAAATCAATTGCTTTAGGCTATCTAAGTGAATATGCCTAATAACATATAAATGAATTAACAACATTATATTCTTAACACAAATAATATTAAATATGTTATATATATTTAAAAAAAAAAATCACCAATATTTAAAAAAATAATAATATAGGGTGCGTTTGGCTCCATATTTCTACCCATATTCCCAATCATATTCTCCAAATATTGTTTGACACATTATTCCAGAAATATTACTATATTTTTAATTACTTTTAGACCCCTTCGGTTTATTAATTTCATAAATACTCCTAGAAAAAAGTTTAAAAATTAACAAAAACACCCCCATCAACCCATATTTGCCAGATTCCGGCAACCACCGTCTGTGGTAGCCAGAATCTGTAAAACAGCCTACACCACAACCAGAACTTGCCGGTAGTTCACTGATCAAAGAAATGGCAGTCGTTGATGGTCAACGATGGCCAAGATGGCCAAATCTTGGCCATCGTTGACCGAAAACGACCACCATATCTTTGGCTTTTTTTGACCGTCGATGGCCTTTTCTGGCCAGATCCCTGGTGGATCTGGCCGAAAAAGGTCATATCGACACGTTACGATACAAATCCAATCGGTCTGTGTCGTAACACAATTTTTCGGCCAGATTATGGCGGTGATAGCCGGAATCTGGCACTGCGAGTGGTGGGGGTGTTTTTATCATTTTATATGTTGGAGTGTTTAATTAAATTAGCAAACCTGGGGTTTTTTTTATAAATTTTTAAATTTTACCTCGTAATACTCTCATATTCAACTACTCAATATTATTTCCAAAATTTTATCTAAAATAATAAACCAAACGCACCATATATATGTTCTATCAGTAAAATTCAATTAAACAAAAAATGTGTATAATATATTACACTTTAAATGATTAAAATTTAAAATATAGTAATATACTGAAATTAATACAAATATTATTTATCTATAATCGAATTAAAGATAATTTCTAAGAAAAATAAAAATGTATGATACTAAAGTTCATTCCTAGTTCAACACATATAATTAAATATGTAATTCTCCGTAATTCTTGTTTGTTTGATGAATCTTGTAATCTTGAAAACCAATCCTAAACTGATTTTTATCCTTGTACAGTTAGGAATTCAATCTTCTCCTCACTATATAAACCCAAAACGATTCTGTATTTTCAGTTAACTTCGTGTACATTGGTTGCTTGCTCTGTAAGTTTCATTGAAAACACTCAGCCTACTGCTGCTGCTTCTGATTCCTGTAATTTCTGTAATTTAACAACAATGGCTTCTGGTAATTACCCCGAAGAAAGCCTCTTGCTTTCTCTTATTAATCTTTCTCTTTCTGGTCATGGCTCTTCAACTTCAAGAACCCATCAACCAAGTCCAATGCCACCCATTATGACTCCTCCCTTTTCACAAAGTATCTGGGCTGACCACTGTCCCAGCAATACTGGAGGTAACCTCTAACGGACTTGAAATTTGTATCTTTTCATGTTCTGTGTGCTTGAATCTTTATCTACGTGTGTAATTTTGTGTAAAGATTTGATTTTGCTGAATGAAGTATGTCAAGAATTGATTTTATTTTATTTTTTTTAATTATGTGATAGGGGCAAATCTTCAATATATGCCTTGGAATCTTCAAGATGATACTATGAGGGTGAATTTGAATTCTGGTTTTGGAGTAGGTTCTATGTCTTTTTGGGGAAATCAAGAAAACCCCTTTGGGCAGAATCTGGGCAGTGCATCCCTGGGAGGGAGAGGTTATATGTCGAATGATTATAATAGTTTGAATTTGTACAATAATGGTATGGCAAGTCAAGATTATGTTGCTAGTCATCAAGAAAGTCTGAGTAGTAATGAAGTTAGAGGTATAAATGCAGTTTTGGGTTTGGAAGATTCTGATATTATTTTGCTGAGTAATGATCAATGGAGCTCTGAGTACCTTCAGAAACTACTGTGTTTGAAGGATTCCAGGATTGTAAATAAGATGATGGGGGTGGTTTATAGCTTCCCAATTTATCTGATGACTCACCAATATGGACACCATCTGTTTGTGAAGCTGATTGAATCATGTGATGAGGAACAGCGTGGACTGATTACCACGACAATAACGTCAGATGACGAGTTGTTTTTGACAGCTTCAGTCAGTAAATTTGGGTAATGGTCCTGAATCTGAAACTTCAGTCATCTATTTATGGTTGTACTTGTCCAGGACTGATGTCAGTAGTTACTTGTTTTGTGCAGTTCACTTTGCATCAAGAGGCTGATCAAAAAGCTAGTGGGATCACCCCTCATTTCGCTGGTGATTTCTGCTTTACATCGAATATTTAAAGACACAATGCTTAATGGAAAAGGATCTTCTGTTATTATATATTGTTTAGAGACTCTCAGTGATCAGCAAAATGAGGTACTTTCACTTCAATGGAGCTCAATCATGGTTACTGTCTTTTAGATATATTAGCTGCAACATGACTTCGTCTTGTTTGGTTCCAGTTACTATATGTTGCAGCCATAAATCACTTTAGAGATCTAGCCACCCATGTCGTGGGATGTATTTCGTTTAACAATTTCATTAATGACATGAGAGGTCCACACAGAGCACAACTTCTAGATTTAATATCTTGTCATGCTGCATTCCTCTCAAAGGACCCTTCAGGGTAAAGATCACTTCCCATTTTAGTGTCAATATTAATAATTTCTTGGCATATTTTGGTGCTTAACCAATGGAAAATTTTCCAGGAACTTTGTTGTGCAGCATGTCTTAGAACTTAGAGATCCTATCTTGACACAAAAGATATGCTTTATCCTTAGAGGCAAGTATGTGGAACTCTCACTGTTAAAATATGGCAGTCATGTAGTAGAGAAATGCTTGAAATCTCCAGGGATGGCACATTATGCAGTTGAAGATTTTCTGAAGAGCAGAAGCCAACTTTTTCACCTTGCCAGGCATAAATATGGAAACTATGTGATCCAAACAGCACTTAAAGTCACAAAGGTATTATTTCCATCTTGAAAACTTATTATACCTCTGAAGATCATACATTGAAAATTAAGCATATATCTAATTTAGAACTTTTAATTCATCTTTTCTGACTTCTCCTTTCAATTCTGCAGAGTGAAAATATTTCCCTCCATAGGAGACTTCTTCATGAACTCCGAGATTATCATGATTTGCAGTTTGGATACGGAAGGAAACTCTACAACCTGATTGCTGCTGGAGTACCAGTTGGTGGGAGTGTGTGATGTACAGTCTTGGAACAAGCCCCAATCTGTTACCTGTCCTTGTTTATATTCAAAATTATGAACATTATATGTGTTACCATAATAGGGTCCTGTTATTTGTCTCTGTTTGTTGTTCTATACTGAAATGTATAGGGATGGCAGTAATTTACCTACAAGGGTTGCAATTTAAGTCGGCCATCTCCATTGTTCTGAATGGTATTTTTGTAGCCTTGTAGAGTCTTTCTTTTTTGTCAGATGAAGTGGAGTTTATGTTCATTCTAGGTTTTTAACCCTTTGAATGGTTAATAATGAATTTTGTTTAGTTGTGAATTAGTCTTTGTTTTCATATTGTGATGAACTAAATTTCTTGCTTTTGCAACTTCATTGTTCTCTTGGCTAGCCAATTCTCATAACCTAAGACCAAATTGCTTGTGAGACATGTTTAACATTTTTAAAACGGGTTGTTATTATTTAACCGTTGAGAGATAATGAAGTATAAAACGTATCCAAAAACCGTCTAATCATTCGGATCCTTATTGTACAGTCTATAAATCATACGCTCTCTATTTGAACTATAACAACTTATTTTAATTTTGACTCTTTTAGTTTTATCTCCAAGTAGAACATATATAAAACGAGCCTTTCCTGAAACATAACTTCAAATCTGAGTTTAGTATATAAATGAACTTGGAACATACCAGTAAGAGGTGCTTTAGTAATTAAACCTTCATAAATCTATTCATTACCATTTTTGTTCAATAAGATACCAAATGGATGATTGACTCATTCCATACTAGAATTAATTGCAGGAAATATATATATATATATATTGCATTATCATTTACTCCCTAATAAAGAATTAAAAAAAACTCTACACTTTCTACAAGCGTGGGTGAAATAACTCCTTTCAGAAAAGCTAAATATAATAATTCAAAAATAAAATGCCAGAAGGCAGCAAGCTTTCGTAGCTCAGTTGGTTAGAGCACCCGTTTAGTAAGCGGGAGGTCTTGAGTTCGACTCTCAACGAAAGCAAACCATCACTTTTCTTCAGGGTTTTTTGCTTTGCCCGTAAAGCAATTTTTATTTTTTAATGTTTGAGCAAGTTGGTGCTACCAAACTAAATATTTAAGTTTTATCATCAACATAGCTATTGTACTTTGTACATATAAACTGTAATTGAGAATTTATGTCTACATAATACATATCTGAAGTGCACAATACTTTACAAAGGGACACATTATTTCTACTTGTTTATCACTGTCCCACTTCTACCAGCCAATTTATGTTCTTCTACAATGAAGTGGTTACAGAATACAGAAACATGGGACTGATATCAGCGATACTTCTCAGGTTCTAATCTTTACATTGCTCAATACCCTCTGTAACTTTACATTGCAATAAATATACCCAAACATCCATCTTTAACTTCATTACAGCACTCACAAAGTTTCTTTCTTTATCAGAGTAATAACGAATGATTTCTGCAGGAGAAAAAAAATAGTGAACAAGAAAGTTAGAAAGTTTGAAAGAAGTTATTGATGTTGAAATAAGTTGAAAACACAGACTGTAGCTGTTTGACCCAATTGATGGTGGTTTCACCTTGTGAACATTGGTGAGATGAGGTTTTTCCCTTGCCAGATTATGCTAAATGTTATTGCTAGTTGAAATAAATTCGATGAACATTGTTGCACAGAGAGAGAGAGAGAGAGAGAGTGAGGAGAGAGAAGCAGTAAGATGAGGTATCAACCATGGTCGGTTATGTTTAAACTGTTAACCACCCACCTTCGCCGCGGCGAAGATTCTTCTTCGCCCCGGCGAAGCTTGGTACACTCAAATCCTTCTATTTTCAACCAATTTCAGGGCAACAATCAACATAACATTCAAACAAACAAATATAACAAAAACCAACTCGATTAAGGGCGAAAGAGGAAACAATAACAACGTACCTCAAGCGGGGCGTTACAAGTGAGAGGAAAGCTGCACCTGCCATTGTTTTTTTGGCGATGGCCTAGGTTTGGGAGCTATCGTTCGTTGGCAACAGTGAGCTCTGATCTGACCATGGTTGTATCCTACGTGAGTGAGCTGTGAGAGAGCCGTGAGTATGCTGTTGACCTGCTGCTGCATGAGAGAAGAGAGCTGAGTTTGTCAGCGACAGTCAACTCTAAGGGAGTTATGAGCGACTGAGCGAGCTGTTGCTGCCGTGCTGCGTGAGAGAAGAGAGTTGAGTGATGCGTGTGTATTATAAGTCTGAGAAAGAAGAGAATTGAGTTCATTGGCGACAGTAAGCTCTGAGGGAGTCGTGAGTGACTGAGTGTGCTACTCCTGCCGTGCTGAACTGCTGCGTGGGAGAAGAGAGTTGAGTGATGAGTGTGTACTGTGAGTCTGAGAGAGTCAGAGTTGCGTTTTCACTTTTCAGTTTCACGCTTTCACTTTAGTCTTTAGGAGTTTAGGCTTTGTTTTGTTTTATTATTTTATTTGAATTTGGGATATTTGAATTTTTTTTTTTTCAAATTCAATTGCGGGTACTCGTGGGTATTACTCAACCCACCCGCAAATTTCACGGGTGGGTTGGGATGGGTTGATTTGAAACGGGGTCATGTTGAGGATACCTGTACCCGCCTATTGGGTGTGGGTACCCGCGGATATGGATAGTGTATTGCCTGGTCTACCTACAGTGCATAATTGCTTCAAATTCAGGAAATATGTATTTTCAGATATGAAACTAACAAAAGAAAAAAAATTGTTAGTGACAACCAGAATAATGCAACATCTACTGTGAACACTGATATTTTATGGGTTCAGCCACTCAATTTCAGAGCAATGAAAAACATTGCAAATTGGCACTTATGTTGTTTCAAACAAATTACAAGCTAAATTAAATTCCTATAATATTGTAAATACATGAATACTGCCACCATCCGTAAACCAACAAGCGGCACAGTCCTAGAAGACCTAGTTTGAAACTTTCCCAACTCCCCTCACCCACGAATTGGGCTCGCATGCCAGACACAAGACGTTACCCAGTAGTAAGAGCTAAGCCAAGATCGGGGAGGCTAATCTTCTATTGTATGATCAAGACTAAAGTTGCTTCACAGGAATTGGAAAATGAGTAAGTACTATCAAAGAACATTGAATATCTGATTCTCAACTATTTCTATTCTGGCTTGATAAAATGCTGATTTGAGCATTAGAGTACTTTTACAAGTACATTATCTGTCATTCCTTTCAAGGAAGAAAGTACTCACAGTCACAAAAGCAGAGTCATAAAATGAAGGTTAGACGAGTCATTGGTGTAAATGATAAGTTTCAATTCCTATATCATTGTAAATACATGAAATGGTGATTGTTTGAGAGGGAAAAAGAATTAGATAGGTTAGAAACTATTGTTTGGTTACCGAGAAAGTTCAAGAAATTAAGTTAAAGAAATGTCACTCATACCTGCTCACAAGCTCTTCTCCTCTGCTCCACAATTTCTTTGTTCCCGTTCGAAGTTAGTTATTTGAAGCTGAAGCCAAATCGTTATTGATTGTTTGGGAGGAAAAAGAATTCGATAGGTTAGAAACTGTTGTTTGGTCATCGAGAAAGTTCAAGAAACTATGTTAAAGAAATGTCGATCATACCTACTCACGAGCTCTTCTCCTCTGCTCCACAATTTCTCTGTTCCCTCTCGAAGTTAGTAGTTGCAGCTGAAGTGATTGTTTGAAGGAAAAAGAATTAGATAGCTGAGAAATTGTTGTTTGGTTACCGAGAAAGTTAAAGAAATTAAGTTAAAGAAATGTCGCTCATACCTGCTCATGAGCTCTTCTCCTCCGCTCCACAATTTCTTTGTTCCCACTTGAAGTTAGTATTTGCAGCTGAAGTGATTATTTCAGAGGGAAAATAATTAGGTAAGTGATAAATTGCTGTTTGGTTACCGAGAAAAAGTTTAAGAAATGTTGCTCATTCCTGCTCACGTGCTCTTCTCCTCCACTTTGTAATTTCTCTATTCACGTGACTCCATAGGCTCACCAATTTGCTCCATTTTTGCCTAAAACTCAAGGCTGTTACCTTCTGTTTAACATTATAAACTTATTTTTGCAACACAATCCCACCATTCAAAACCCAAAAATCAACATTATTTACCATAAAAATAAATAAATAAATTCCAAAGAAATAAAAGCAACTCAACCATTTTTTCTTGTGCGTAGTTGAACTCGTTTGCGGAGCAAAGTGTTAATATTACTGGCAGCACTCAGGGTCAAAAGATTTTTTAATTCCCATATCACCATATTAAAGATCGATTACTCTCAGGTTCTTTAATCTTTACATTGCTCAATAACCCTCTGTTTAACTTTACATTGCAATAAATATACCCAAACATCTCCCCATCTTTAACTTCATTACAGCATCTCAAAAGTTCTTCTTTCTTTATCAGAGTAATTAACGAATGATTTCTGCAG